CTGAATTTCTGAATAAGGTTCATCCAGAACCTTTAAACTGTCCTGTGGTTTCAAATGTATTATTTCAACTTTTTAATATCACATTTTTATACATGTAAATTAAGATTTTTTTATAATAAAAATGGATACCAACAGTTTTTATTTTTACATAAAGCACTTTCTTTGTCGTAGATACATCTAATTCAACGCAGAAATGGCAAATGTATAGTTTTTTTTTTTACAACCATGAAAGATCAAGATGTGAATTTTTTTTGTACAAGCTGCTTCACTAATAGTCTTACTTGTAGTCGTCTGTAAACTTTGTTGTATTTTATATTATTTTTTAATGCTCATGCTGCTTGTGTTTTAATTAGCAGATAAAAACATGATGTCTATTAAAATTAAGGCAGACTCCAGGCAGAAAAACTACATTTGTTTCTTTGTTTTGATCATGAGATCTTTTCATCTCTCCATTTATTTTAACAGGAATTTGCCACTATCACCCCTTTGACAGGGCCGTCATTTAGTGCATTATATTATTGTACATTGTCCATTCCTACATGACAATGTTTACGTTTTTCTGACAGTAAAGCTCAGCTGATTTTGTAAACAATTTTCAAAATACTACATTTATACAAATATACAGATTTTATTAAGTAACACACTGAGGTAAATGACCAAAAGATACTTATTTGATTTCCGTAAACCTGAATTACAAATATTCTAAATCAACATTTAAACGGTTGATTTGTTTTGAGACCAGAACAGTACACAACGTCTACGTAACGTTCAACCGACGCGTGACGTATTTCGACGCGTTACGTCGTCCCCTCGTAGGAGCGTACAAGGTCGTCATCTCTGTAACAGCAGCAGCAGTTAGCCGCGAACATGATGTCCTTAGCTGCCCGTTCAGGGGCTTTTTCCCCTTATCTGCAGGCTTCCACTTTCACTGTGGCCGGACCACTGAAAGCCCTGGTGCCCGGTATTCTGGTGAAGGAAGAGAAGATGTTGTTTGACCCAAAGAAAAAGATATTGTGTCGGGATTCAATGAAGGGTCAGAGCCCGAAGACAGGGCCTGTGGTGTCAGTTAGCATTGGAGGTGAGTTTGCTAGCATTAGCTTAGCATGTTAATTCTCTTTTTTACTAATTTCGTGATTATTCGCCTTCTCTTCAATTTATTTATAAAATCTCAAGATAAGAGGTTGTTGTTATTATTATTATTTTTAGGGAATTCAGTATATTAGTAAAGCAAATAAGTTGACTCTTGCACATAGATAGTTGTCCTTTCCCCCAAAACGTAGAAGATAATTGTGTAAAAATATTAAACGCGTTTTTATTGTGCTGGCATAACTCCTAAACATCCTCAAAACTAAAGTCACTTAAAGGGCACAGAATGTTAGTGGAATTGCAAGACAAGTTTTAAGTTCAATATTTTGTTTATTATATCCAAAAGTCAGGTTTTTGGATGTAAATGTTCTCTATATATTTTTGAGACATTTGCTGCTCCATTTTAAGACAACCCACAGATGTCAAGAGACAAACATGTTTCTGTCCACAGGCCCAGCAGGAGTCAGATTTGCCCACACAGACATCAGGATACCAGACTTCTCTGACTACAGGCGTACAGAGGTTCTCGATGCCAAACAGTCATCTCAGGATAGCGGTGAATCCAGGAGGACCTTTTCCTACCTGTTCACAGGGGCCACAACTGTCATGAGTGTTTATATGGCCAAGACAGCGGTCTCTCAGTTTGTCTCGTCCATGAGCGCCTCAGCTGATGTCCTAGCCATGTCCAAGATAGAAGTCAAGTTGAGTGACATCCCCGAAGGCAAGAACATGACCTTCAAGTGGAGAGG